TCATGGCCACCCCCCCCCCCCCCTGCCTCATCTTCCTGCCATTTCCTCTGCTTCTATTGTTGGTCACCAGAGAGAAGAGATCAGCCTCTGCTCTTCCCCTTGGGAGGAAGTTCTAGACCCCCAGGAGATCTCCTCTCAGTCTCCTCTTCTCCAGGCTGAACAAACCAAGTGACTTCAGCCTCTCCTCATATCCTTCCCCTCTAAACCCTTCACCAACTTTGTGTCCCTTTCCAAAGGTCTCTGCGAGTGTCCCCACTTGAGTTGGCTACTCACAGTCAGCATTTTCCACCCGAGCGTAGTTGCCTTCCTCCCGAAAGCTGATGTTTCCCAGGTGGAGAATCCCGGCCACGATCTGCAGCACCAGCTGCTGGTCCTCACCCCGGATGCCGATGACCTGCATGGCGTTCTGGGGGTGGGGGGAGCCCGTCAACCTCTGCCTGGCCACAGTGGCTTTGGGGACACCACTCCCAGGCACTCACCATGGTCTCATGGAAGTCACTGCGGTCGTCTGTGCCCTCCACCTGGTACGTGTCCGACTGGTTCAGGTAGTAGTAATAATCCGGGCTCATGATGCCCAGGTTCTGCCGCTGCTCTTGGGATGCTCCTTCGATGAGCTGGGAGAGAAACAGGAGCTGTGGTGACCTGGCCCCTGTCCCCCAAGGCTGCCTGACCGGCTCCGTGCCCCCCGTACCTGATAGTAGATGTGGAAGTTCCTCTCGCACTCGTTCTGGCTCACCACCCGCGACTTCTCCAGCAGGAAGTTGGAGATCTTCCCTCCATCAGGTTCACCGCCTCGGCTGAACTGGATCTCAAAGTACTTCCCCTGCTCCGGCACAGCTCCCACTCAGAGCCATGGTCATGGCTGGTGGGACTCCTCACTCCCCATGGCCATGGCTGATGGGACTCCTCACTCCCCATGGTCCCAGCTTCTCTCTCCCTTCTCCCACCACACTAGGACCATTGCTGTATGAATCCTGGCCATGGCACTGACCCTCTGCACCTGCCCTGGTGACTTACAAAGCGGCTGGAGTTGTTGTTCCGGACAGTTTTGGCATTTCCAAAGGCTTCCAGCAGCGGGTTGGACTGCAGGATAATGTCCTTCACGTGCTGGGGGCAGAGGAAGGAGGGGGCCGAGTGAGGGGGGGGCACACATCTGCATCCCACCACAGCAGCCCTACCTTGGGGCTGGGGACAGACTCTGGGGTGGGGGGACCCCAAGTCTGTCCCCCGCCCTGGAGCCCGG